AGGAATTCAGGTGACTGCAGCTGTGTTTTATTGAAAGAAGCAGTGAAGTGGGTAACATGGGCCCCAACTCAGAAGCCACTCCTCGCCCCCTAAACCATGCATGGGCAAGCCTTAGGCCAGGGAAACTTGTGTGCATGCTGGATAGTTGCCCTCAGGGCAAGTAAGCAAGAGGGGAGAGAAAGATGCCTTGGTGATGAGGTGGGGTATGTCGCTGCTCAGGCCTCAGGTGGGCATCTACACAAAAGCATCCAAGTGCACTGGCACGGACACGTTCCCCTCACAGGCCACAATGATGCGCTTCTGCAGCTTGGTAGTCTTGTATACACAGTTGGGGTACCTGGAGCTGCCTGTCTGGCGGCAGTCCGTGATGTTCATGGTGGAGTTGCTCTGGTGGCAATTGTACTGCCCATTTTTGCAGGTGATGTTTTTCTCAGAGCAGATGGCCTTGACGTCTTCCAGGGACTCATGCACAAAGGTGTTCACCGGCTTGCACCATCCACGTGTCATCTTCCGACGCTTCATCATTTGGTTGCAGTAGTTGGTGTTGTTGCCGGGGGAGTTGCCGCTGTCCATGTGCTGCCGCTGGAACTTCTTGGCGGCCGATTCCCTGCCCAGGGAAGGCTGGACCCACCCCAGCACCAGCAGTAGGGACAGGAACAGGAACAGGAACTTCAGAACCATGGTCGCCTCACACTCCTGGAGGAGCCGACCCGGGAAAAGAGGGGTGGGGGGTAAATCATCACCAGAGAACCCCAGCTGCCAACTGTAGCCTCCCTGGCATATCGTCTCCCACAGGTTAACCAGAAAGATGTCCCTCTTCCAGCAAGTTCTTCCAAGTGATGAGACACTCACATATACAATTCTTCATTAGCATGTGACTCCCACTCCTTACACAGAGGCCATCCTCCCTTCTGGGTAGTGACCCCAGAAATGACCGAAAACCCTAGCAGTCCTGTCTTTGAATGCAGAAGTATTTTTCTTTTAAAATACACTGGAAAAATAAAGCAGCTTTCTCACATTTGTACCCAGTGCTTACATGGCTCATTAGAAGATTCATTTGAATAAACCATTAAATAAATGAGCCAAATTTTGAATAAGCCAAATTGTATCCCTGAGATACCACGCAGTATTCATCCAGGACCAGGGCTGACAGAGCCCTGCTGTCCTGCAACACAAGGGAAACTCTGCCCCACTGCCTGACGCTGGCACATAAAGGGAAGCCATTGTATCCCAGAGGAAGGCGCTCTCCTCCCCCAAGCTTTGGGGGGCTGCTCCTTCTCTAGCCCCATGGGTCCGCGGCAGCCTGCATGCCCCATCCATGACCCCAGCTGTGCCCCAACTGATGTTTGCCTGCCCCAAGCTTTCTCAGGCTGCCCTCACCCACTCTGTTTCCCTCCTCTCCAACCCTCAAGCAGAAGCAGCACCTGAGACCACCTCTTGGTTTGCTTACCTGGGTCTCTAGCTCGGTCTCTGAGAGAGAGCGTGGAAGGCAGTGTCTGCAACACCCAATCCTGGGAGTGTGGACTTTATACAGACTGAAAAGGGGCTTGGCTTCTGAGAAGAGAGGGGTGGGAGGAGCATCTTGGCCCCGGTCCACAGGAGAGCAAGGATAATGTGTGGAAAGGGTGGGGAATTACACAGGCCACCCTCTTTTCAGGGCTACTACACGGAGTGAGCCTTTGCCTATGAGAGCCTTTCTTTCCACAGGAAGCAGAGAAAGCCCCTATAGCAGTGATGCCCGAACCTCACCCGAGCCCTACTTGTCTCCTTGGGAGCCACTTTCACCAAGTAGCCCTTGGAGGTTAGCAAAGGGCGCGTGTGGTCAAGGGAGAGGGAGGGGAATGGACCTGCTCTCTCTCCTGCCTGGAGCTGCTTAGGCCAGAATTCCACATCTCTCCCGGGGAAACCAGGGAGAGGCAGCCAGCTGCTCCCTGCTGGAAGGCGTCCCAAATCTGGAGAAGAAATGGGAGAGTACCTGAATCCCAAGAAGAAGGACACCCCTGCATGACTTAACCCCTTTTGGCCACTTCGAACAGTCCTGGGCTGTTAGAGGAGGGTGTGTAGCTTTTCTCATCTACAGTGACCTCTCACTCTGCAAGTCAGAGTGGAGTAGAGGAACTAAAGTGAAACCAAAATGCAAAATCCCCTTTAGACACTATATAGACAGCATCATATTTCTTACAAGTAGAATTTCCTCCAGGAAAGAGCCCTGTATTTGCTGGAGGACAATTTTATTTTTATTTATTTTAAAAAATACCATTGATTTACAATATTGTGTTAGTTTCAGGTGTATAGCAAAATGACTCAGATATATACAAATTTTAATCCCTTGGGAGTGAGAATTGTCAAAATATCTCTCCATGCTCTAGGTTTACACCATCTCAGGCCAAATTCTTGCTTAGCATCTTAAGAGCTGGGCAAGTCTCCTCTTCTCTAAAATGGGGATGATAATAATATGGTCCTCTTTAATCTATTGTTAAGGCAAAGTAAGGTAAGATGCAGAGGGCTAGGAGCAGTGCTTAGAAAGCATCAATAAATGTTAGTTCTTAATATTGTTCACATGGGGTGAGGTTAACTTCCTCCCAAAGACTGTTTAAATAACACTTGGTGATCTCTGATTTGCTTTCTCCAGGAGGTGGAGTCAAGTAACTACCAGGCTTTTGTTCTGCTAAAATCCAGAGCTAAAAAGAGCAGGCAGTTTGAAAGCCCAGGAGAGGGAATGGGAGGGGGAAGAGAGAAGAGAGGTAACTTGGTGGGAAGAAGAGAATTCTTTAAGGGAACATTTTTAGTTGGCTTTTTTTTTTTGGTGGGTGGAGATACTTGGGATTATTTATTTATTTTCAGTGAAGGTGCTGGGAATTAAACTCAGGACCTGCTGCAAGCTAAGCACCCACTCTACCACTGAGCTATACCCTCCCCACTAAGGCAGAATTTTAAAATTGCTTTGCCACATGATATACAAGAAATCTTTGGTAAAGTTGACACTATTTGCTCATGTGCATAAATTTGGAAAAAGTGATGCCGAGGAAGTCGTGGTGTGTTAGTTCCATGTTTCCCTACATTGCAAACCTCCGACACTCCACCCAGGTATTTTTGTCTCATAGTCTTTAGATGATACTCATACCCTCCTGAGTAGTGTTGGAAGGAAAACTTTTCATCTCCCTACTTGTTGCCGAGTCCAAACTCGTTCGGCTCACCGCAGGACAGGCCAGTAAATCGGGAGACGAGGTGTTGGGCAAGGAATAGCAATTTTATTCGGAAAGCCGGCAGACCAAGAGGATGGCAGACTAATGTCTTGGAGAACCATCCTGCTCTAGTCAGAAAACAGGCTCCTTTTATAAAAAAAATAAGGGAGGGGGAGGAAAAATAAGGGACGGGGGTGGTTGATCATTGTAATCTTCTTGCTGCAGGCATTCTTTGTTCTTGCAGGCATCCCCATGGGCTAGGTCCTGGTGTCCCTGTAAATCTCCAACAAAACAAAGCTTATTCTCTACTACATACTTATGCTCAGGTCGAGGGTCCTGCAAATTAACTGACAAAAGACAGGTTAACAGAAGAACTGACAAAATTTATTCATATGCACATGAAGGAGCGCAAAAGAAGTGATTCCCTCAACAAATTAATAGAGGAAAGATGGAAGTGGCATGGGATCGGGACAGATACAGATGGTATAGGAAATAAATGTGTTTGTTTTTCTTTTTTTTTAAGGAAAGATAAATGAGCTTTTAGGGGAATAAACAGGATGTAAAATAGTTTGTGATAAGGTATGTCTATTCAAGTGCAAGTGGTCTGTTTTCTTCCTGAATGTAAAACTCCCCCGAGAGGCGATTTATAGCAGCTTTGCTCTCAGAAGACCTTGCTTTTATTCAGATAAGGGAAGCTCTGAGAAAGAATCTTTGGCATCTGCTGAGGCTCAAATATCTTCCGTTTAAAATAACCTTCATATCAAATCTATGGTTCTGAGTGGGTACCCACAGTGGCCAATTTTGAACTTGTTCATTCATTCATTTAAGAGGGAAATACAGAGATAAATTACAGGGCCTGCCCTCAAGGTGCCTGATGGGATGGTTTGTCAGGTGAGTCCCACCAAGTTGTTGGGTTTGGCTGCACACAAGTAGTGATTCTTTTGGCACCTTTCCATTGCCAGAATTCCAAGGAGTTGGTCCAACAAGATTTCAGAATCACAGTTCAAATATGAACATGACTTCTGTCACCCAAATACGATTCTTCAATAGCTTACCCCCTCCTAGGCTTCCCGAACTATACCAAGTCATTTTACCTATTTGTGCGTGGCAAACTGGACAGGCCCTTGGGGTTTTCATTCAGCTTCATGGAAACCATCAAAAACACATCCTTCCTATACCCTTACCCTTGATTTCCTTTCCTTTGGGCAGGAGCTCCAGCTTCAAAACTTCTTGAAGCTTCTGATTCAGGAAAACACATGTGGGGTATAAGAAGGGCTGAGTCCCAGATCTCAGCTGAGCTGCTGGGACATGCCCTGCCAAGTATGTGTCAGCATCTTTTTAGTAGTAAATTATTTTTAATTGAGACAGATCCCTTTCTTTAGAAACAATGCTTTCCACACTTTATTTATAACTGCCAAGATCAGGAAGCATCCTAAGTGCACATCAATAAATGAATGGATAAAGAAGATGTAGCATATATATGTAATGGAATACAACTCACCCATGAGAAGGATATTTTGCAATTTGCAGACTTTCATTCACTTTTCTTTTTCACTGCAAAACCCAGAATTTTCTAACTGACACAAACATATCCATTGCATCAAAAACAACAAAATACCTAGAAATAAATTAACCAAGGAGGTTACCTGTACTCTGAAAACTGTAAAACATTGATGAATGAAATTGAAGATGATATAAAGAAATGGAAAGATGTCTTGTGCTCTTGGATTGGAAGAATCAACATTAACAAAATGGCCGTACTATCCAGAGTAATCTAAATATTCAATGCAACCTCTGTCAAAATACTCACGACGTTTTACAAATCTGCTGGAAATTCTGATACCATCAGTGAGGCCACAAGCAATCACAGCTGGTGACATTTCTACCTGCACGTAGATGGACAATTGACTGTAAACAAATCAACTGGTGATTTTGCTAGTGTCCCTCTCTCCCAGGGGAAAGAAATTATTAAAATTTCATTTCCAGACTCAAGATAATTCTAAATTTGAGCTCAACCTTCTTTGTAAGGTGATGAGCCCAACTCTTAACACCTGGAAGAGAGTAGCAACAATCCAAACATATGATGTAAGGCCTTGGTTCCAAACTCAAGTTATGAACAACTCCCTTTTTCCTGGATCTCCATGTGTCCCCGCTGGATACTACTTCCTTTGGGATCAGGATGCATGGTCCTGTTTGCCGCAGACTAATACCTCATGAACGTTAGGAATAGTAATCCAAGATTTGCCTGTATACAGAGACCCTAACTCTATAAATCACCAAGGCTGGAAATTCCAATTTAGGTATCAAATCCATATGGGGCCATTCTGCAATATTCAGGAACAATATTTGGGGGATTGCTGGCTCAATTTTCATGTGAATAATCAGAGTAGTGTTCTCATCAGTGGGAATCATAAAATAGAAGACTTTAAGAAACCTACTAGTAACTCTGACAGAAGTTATGAATGATACCACGTCTGCCCGAGATGGAATACACATCAGTCTCAGCTCATCGGTATGAGCAGTGATGGACAATCACATTGCTTTAGATTTCTTGTGGGCCAGTCATGGTGATGGCTATGGCATTGCTAATGTTTCTTGCAGCACTTGCCCATGAAATAGGCAAGTCTAACAGGCTATCCATTGCCCTAAAGAAGAAGACATTTGGATGTCTAAGGTTGATCCTCATGGTCTGTGGGATTTGTTCTGTTGGCCTGTGTTGGCCAGTTGGGCTTCCTGGTTTTGAAGTACCTCAGAGGGACTATTAATTATTCTTGTTTTAGTGAGAGTGGTCAACATTCTGGTCTGTTACATTTTAACCAGAATCTTAAATGCTTCTCCACATCCCCTCTCTCCTTAGATGAACACCATGATGATACAATACAAGGATCAGGAAGATCTTGCAATACAGTTGACTATGATGTTAACCAAACTGTTTCTGGACACTGATGATCTGGAATTCTAGCTTTCCCTAAATTGGTCAACTTGTTGGAAGTGAGAGAATAAACAAAAAGAGGGTCAGAGCGATGAAATGGGTAAACAAACAATGGCCAGACTATACATGAAGGTAAACTTTGACCCCAAATCAGCAGCAATAAATTCAGAAAACCAACCCACTCTACAGAGCACACCAGCCCAGAAAGCCAAACAAGAACCCCTGTGGCAAAATAGGTTGGCTGCTGGCCTTTGAGTTAGCCAGGACATGATGAATAACTGAAAGTTTCCCTAATTTTTGTCCCTAAAACCTCAAATTAGGACCAACTGGAGAACACCAGATATGCATGTCTAACCAATCACAAAGTTGTCTGGCTTCTGGGCAGCCCACCTCCAGCTCCATGCGAACAGCCTCCACTCAGGGCACACCTTCTGAAGGCCTCCCGTTTTTCTAC